GTGGGTAAGCGGGCTGATAGAATTAAAGGGTTAAGCATGGGTAGGGAGCTGTAGTGGGGGAAAATAGTCATGTAGGGACTGGTCGAGGGATGGGAAAATCTTGAAGATGTCCTGCTGTTGCACTAGCCAGGAAGAATCCTGCCCCTGTCCTATGGAATCAAATCAGGCTTTGTGCAAAACACAGCTGAATACAATATGTGGCTCAGGTTTGGAGGCAAAGCATTGCAGGTGGCTTTGTTTTAATGTAGAACGAGTTTCTCGCACAGTAATTGGAGCCCATTCATGGTATTGCAGCCCTCGGCTGATACGGATCATACCTTCAATCTAAACTTGCTGCTCCCAGTTTGTTAGCCTCTGGATACGGGTGTGGGAAAGGGGAAACAAAGGCCACATCTATAACTAATCTTGACTTGTGTTGACATTCCGTGGGTGAAACAAGTCTTTCCCTGCTTTAAAATGCTGGAGAAGACATTTAAAAACAAATTTGCAGGGGGAGGGGACTGTGCAGTCAGTGTGATCTGTCCCTTCTATAGCAGAATGCTCCAGAGGAGATAAGAAGCTCTCGGGTCATTTACCCTGGATGGGTTTTTATTTGTGAATCTTTCTTTCAGCTGGGGCTTATCTAACACAATTGCATGGACCATAGCAAAGTTTTCAACATTTGTTGGGTGAGTAGAGAACTGAAGGAACCTGGGCATCTGTTTGTGCAGAGAAGGAGCAGCTCTGTTCCAGGTGTGGTAAACGCTTTTACTGTGCAGTGCAAAAGAAAAAACAAGTACTTGGCCTAACACTGTGAGAGAAATAATGCGAGCACTGAAGTGCAATGAGTTCTCTTTATGCAAAGCTTGGATGTTGAAATGCTGCGTAAATGGCAGCGTTGACTACACCGAGCTGATCTTGGCACTTCCCTCGTGGCTCCTGCAGCTTAAGATGACAATACTGATTTAGCGGGATTCACGGTTGTACAAGAAGGATCTCCAAGAAAGACCAATAGTGTTGAGCCTGTAAAAATATTCCCTCTTGGAATTTATATTAAACAGGACTTTTTGCATTAAAAATTAAGCTTGTGGTGCTGCCATTCAAACCACCTGATAATGCAGGGTTGACTGCACAGGAAATGAGGAAAATATCAAAGCAGGTTGTGTGGTTAGCCCATTCTTTGAAAATAACGGGAGATAATTGTTTCCATGCTTGCCTGGAACCTGCTGCATGACTCTGGGCAAGCTGCTTCTCCTCCCCGTGCCTCAGTTTCTCATAGTTTGTGTGCCATCCTTTCAGGCTGGAAGCTTTCAGGAACAGGAATTACAGAGTTTGTACGGTTCCTGGCATGCTTGAGCCTGAGGCTGCTGTGTGCAACCGTTGTATGCATAAAGCTGCTGTGCTTACACTGTTCAGGCTGGCTGTAACACTGAGCCAGTGCTGGCTTTGCTATCCTGCTTCCCAGTGAGAATAGGAAGGTAATGAGAAGGTATATCTGTTGTGATTTTTTTTTTTTTCCTGGCTGAAAAGCTGTTTCAGTAGCTTCATGTTGGCCTCCCCAAGCAGATGGCTTAACTGCAACTAGCCATAAAGATGACTGTGAGTATGGGAGGAGGGCTTGTCGTAAAGTGTTTGTCATTTATGTAGTTATATGTATACAAAGGGCAGGAAACCTTCTTCCTTGTTTTCCATATTGTTTGTAACTGTAGAAATATCAAGGATGTCCTACTCTGTTTTTGTTTTACTTTATCTGTACTGGAAGACTTCCAAGGGCTTGAGAATCAAAGGTTTCTCATCTTGAGAGTGAGAGCCCTGCCTTTTGCAGCAATCTTGATTCCTAGATGCTTATCAGGAGTTGATTTATGTAGGGTTAACAAAAAAGGAAAAAAAACCCAAACCCACAGCTCTGTCTTCATTGCTTGGGTTTTACTCTTCTGATAGGGGTGACATGGATGATCCTGGTAGCTCCTTAGTCATCTGTATTCTCCAGGATCAGAGTGAACAAGTCCTAAAGTTCTAATGTTTGAACAAGTTTTTGCTTGTTTCTAAACTACTCTTATTGTTTGTGAGACGCTGTCTGCCCATCTGTTTCTTTCCTTGTCCTTACTTAAATTTTGGAGATTAAAGCCAGTGTAGAAGCACTCCCAACCCATACCAGTGGGTAAGAAGATTGAAGATCCCACCAAAACGGTGCCTGGCATCAGGCTGCATTTAGGAAATGTGCACTTCAACCAAAGACTTTGAGAACGTTGAAATTTTTCAGATTGTTTTATCATTTGAAAAACAAACTTTGCAAGAATTAAGTTAAAGGTGAAGAGTTCCGTTCTTTTCCTCCATCAACTAGGTGTTCAGATTCAGCTTCAGGCCTTGAGCCGTGTTGGAGGGAGTTGCTGTTTAACAATGTCTGTGTCCAAAAAAAAAAAAAAAAGACAGCTTGAACTGTTAGTGTCCCCTATTAATTTCCTTCAATGATATCTGCAGATGCTGTGTCCTTTGGGCAGCTCTCTCCAGCTGTACTCTTCTCGCAGCTTGTAACCAGGGGAGTGATTACAAAGCCTGGAATTTCTTCCCTTGTGCTCCCGGGCCAGTTGTGAAGCCCTCGAGGCCGGTTCAGCGAAGCCTGCGGGGCAAGTCATCGCTGGCTTGGATCAGGTGGGAATGCAGCTCCCCAGCCTGGTGCAGGATCCTCTTTGCCCTTGGGTTTTCTGCTTTCCCGATGCCCCCCGTCAGTGGGTTGCTCCTTTCTGTGTCGGTCGAGCGCCGAGGCAGAGAAAGGTTTCTGAGGGGTTTCTTGGAGGGCTGTGCTTTGGGAACAGCAGGTACTTTTTTGGGTGTCTTGGGCTGTGTGCGTACAGTTTGAGCAAGAGTCATGAGGGGCAGCGTGGTTTAACCACAGCTTCTGCCTCTTCACCGGAAGGTGCAATGGATTTCAGTGCTCTGAGGGTTTTGCATTTCTGTATTAATGTTTACTGAAATGAGCAAAGAGCTATGAAATCCCATCCTGGCATGGGTGTGAATTTCCCTTCAGTTGTAAATCATCTTTAAAGGCAAAGGGATTATAATTTTTAAACATTGAGAGATGCAGAATACTTCCTTTCCAGAGACTTGAGGTGAAAAGACTTGGTGCCAGAAGTTACTGCTGTGAAGGTGTTAACTCTTTTTGCAGGAGCGGCTGAGGGTTGTGTATATCATTACCTTTTAATCTGCCTATAAATTCCAGGTTCATGCTCCTCTTTGAAGCCCCTTAACATTCAAATTGTTCTTTTTCTCTACCCATACATATCAATTGCAACTGGTTGTCTTGCTGCATTCTTCTTCCCGGTTGCATTACTACTGAACACGACTTTCCTTTCTTGCTTTTGGGATAAAGTGAGATTTTTCTTTTCCTAGAAAATGCAGACTGTGTCCAGCCTTCAGAGGTTGCTTGGAGTCATCCTGCTGCCTGTCTTGTACTGGAGATCTTCTCTGCATCCCTGCTTGGCTTTGTTTTCTGGTGGGGCTTTTTGTGGAGACCCCTCAGACGGTGTGGATTTATAGCCTCGCTGGTCTTTTGGTACCTTGAGTGAGCACGTTCTGGCAAGCTTCTCTGGATCTCCTGCTCCATTTCTGGTTAAAGCTTGGGATCTTCCCCTTGTCTCCTCCACTTAAAAAGACCTGTCTCTAGCTGTTTTTGTGGAGAGGATGTATCTTTTTTCTCTCCAGCTTCTGTGACCTTTCATCCCAGCACCTTTAGCTCTTGATCTTGCCTTCGTTCCTGTGTTGGTACTAAGCTCTGACCGTGCCGAGAATTGTAGTGAAATGCTTCAGTTTTCTAGCACGTTTGCAGATTTCTGTAGTGTACTAAGCATGGGATTTTAAATTTCATTAAGAACAAGTAAAACTGCCTGTTCATCTCCTTTTAGGCTTTCTGGGATTCCCAGAGCAAAAGCATTTATTCCTTGCATAATCCAGCATTGCTTTCAGATTGTGCGATAAATTTAAGGTCCTCTCCGGGAGTGCTTTTGCAGAAGCAGCACGCAATAGCAGCGCTTCGGTGTGCCACGAGGAACTGCCTGGGCTGACTGCGATGGTTGCAAGCGTGGCTTCTTAAATCTTCACGTTTTTTCTGAATGTGGAGAGAGCGCAGTGAAGGCACAATGCTGGGAAAAGGCAGTTCTTTCCCTGTAAAGATTTTTAGTCTTTGCTATGTTAAAGATTGAGACTTCAAAAAGAACTGATTCCGTTGCATTTCCTCAGTGCAGCAGTCAGGACACACAATTTTCTTTACCTGCTCCATCTGGGGGGAAAAAAATTAAATAAAAACTGAGGATATATTTCTGAAGCTTGCTTGCTGCTGGGAATTTTTTGGCAACAACCTGTCAGGTAACTTGATTCACCATGATGAAACTGCAGGGAAATTGAAATGAGACTTAAACGGGTTGTAATGTGGAAGCTTCAGTTTCGATCTTTATTTCACTAACACGTCCCCTGCTTGTCACTGCACTGGAAATGCCTGGTTAAAGTGGTTTTGGCCCTCAGAGGAGATAAGTTTTCTGATCAAGTACCATCTTGCAGAGTGAGGTTAGATGAAGTGAGGTTCCCTGACGTGGTTTGTGGATTGCTGTTCGTAACATCCTCTGGAAGTCCTGCGCGTGTCTCTTGTCCAGTTACATTTTAAAACAAGAAGAGAAGGGAAGACGCTGGATTTCTTGCTGTCTACCAGCCTCGCCTCCTGCTTGGTTGGACTGGAGCCAGCGAGCTCGGGGTGATGCTATGGCCAAGACCTCCTCTACACCAAAACTGTTGGTTAGAGCTGTAGCTCATTAAGCAGTGCAGCCCTTAAGGTGAACATAAGGTGCTGTCTTGGTGCTCTGGCATGGTAGCGTAGCTTGTGTCTGCTGTCGGAGCTCCTGCCCTGGCAACCACCCCAGCAATGTCAGCGATGGGTCCCTTCTGCTTGTGCCACCTGAACTGCCTTCAAGTAGCTGTTGTGCAGAAAAGTGTTTTCGTCTAGAGATCTCCCAGCTAGATTGTCTAGGAAGATGTTAAAGATCAAGGAAGTGGTGGTGGGGTGCAGTAGGGGACACTGATACACATCCAGCAGCCTGGTTGGTGTGAATATTTTGTCTCAAAGAGATGTTTCTGTGTCACAGGGTCCTGCTGTGGTTTGGCAAGCCCATGAGAAATTCAACTTAGGCATTTATGTTATCTCCCTGCCCCCATCCCCCAAATCAGGAGCATCATCTGAATAAGACATGTTGTAAAGAGCATTAAAAGGTGTAGATGAGGGAAGAACATACAGAACTTAAGTAATTAGCAGTAATTTCTGTTACACTGGGGTGCAAGATAGTTGCATAAGTTAGTTATTATTGACAGAGTTGCTTAGGTTCCACCTCAGCTAAACTCTCCCTGAGAAATTCTCTCTTGAAAGCTTACAACTCTTGCTTGAGCCGGTAAACTGAAAACTGCATCCAAAACCATTAGGTATAGGGAAAGCTTTCCTGCGTAGTGAAACCTCAGACAGCCTGTCATTCCATGGTTAACCTGAAAGCTGATCGTATTTAAACATGAACTGTTATTTTATGCTTCATCGCTTGAAGATAGACCTTTGCAGGGGCTTATTCCAAAAATGTCAGAGTCCGGACAGCATGTCCCTAAATTTTTAAACATTCTTCTGATATTCAAGGGTTGGTTTCCCCAGGGTGAAATCTGGAGAGGGAAGGAAGAAGATTTGACTTTATTTTTGCTTGCCATTGTTTTTCGATTCAGCTGTAGGTACTCTTTATTAAGAAGTGACCCTGAAGTTTTTAAAAGTTTACTGAAGACTTTTACTTTACCTTTCTAGATGCAGAGATTGGCTGGCCTAGAGAGACTGTTGAGGAAACTCTGAGCTCACTGATGTTGATGTGGTTGGGAAGGACCAGGGACACTGCAAATCTAGGACTCCAGTACTGAAAACTTTCTACTTTTAAACGTATGCATTGCACCAGTCTCTAACTTGTGGCTGCATGAAAGCCTCGTGCAGCAATTGGAGGCAGCCAAGCGGCTCCTGGAGATACGGCGACGGTTCTGTTATCTGCAGCAGCTTTACTGTCGCATGAAAAGTAAAAGCGCCACAACCTGACGCTTCTCAGCTGTGGAGCTGGCTTGGACCAACTCCAGCGCTTGTGGCCAGGTGGCAGCTGTGCAGGCTCGGTGCGGAGGGATGATAATAGCACCGAGCCGTAAACAGGACACTCCACCCTGCCTCGGCGCCTCTCGCGCCCTCCTCCTTGTGCCCAAAACGCGGCGCCGTGCACGCAGCCTTTGCACCGTAAGGAGGGCAACCTGCCCCCGGTGGCAACCTGCCTCCGGAGGCAACCTGCCCTGCATCTCCCAGCTGCCCCTTGCCCTTCGGGCTTCTCGGTGCTGCTTGAAAACAAACTGAGCTGTTCGGTAGCAGAGTTGTACTTCATGAAAAGCAATGACGGTTTGTGCTGCTCATACATTAATAGCTTTAGATGTTTGTCAGCCCTCAAACACAATTGATGCAGTTGTCACCGTAGGAGGCCACGTCTCCTCTGCTCTCGGTCGTGTCTGTTCTCGAGGTCCTTCTGGGCTGGTTTCAGCTGTGTTGCCCTGTTGAAGGTACGAAGGTGACCCCCATCACTCTGGATGTGATGGTTGTATCAAAGGGGGCCCCTTGGAGAGCTTTGTGGGGGACGTGCGCTGTCACCGCAGCGCGGGAGAGGGGCTGCCCTGCTGCAGCAGCGTTCAGTTCTGCCAGCGGCCTGGCTGGGGAGAGCAGCGCGAGAGGAAGACAGCTGAGGTCACACGTAATGGAGATGCAAGTAACATAGCCTGTGGGGGTAATGAGGCACTGAAGAGGAAGCTGCAAATACTAACGAGTTTCTAAATTAGAGTTAGTGGTAGGTGTCTTACTGTTAACTGTTTTAGAGCAGGGAGTGTGCCTTGAAATGCCAGCTGGACCCAACACAATAAGGCTTTAATCCAGTGTGGACCTTACGAGGTGTGGCTGTCATGCAAGGACTAATGCTTCTCTTGCCCTCCCACGGGGCTTTTTGTTCCTACCCTTTTCTCACCTAGAACTGAAGAATTCCACTGCTCAAATGGTATTTTAGCTGATAAAAAGATGTATTTAACAGGCCATGTTCCTGGAACAGTCTCACCCCTGAGCCTGCCTGGGTGCCGCAGTACCTTTGTATACCCCGAGGTATTTGTCAAACACAACGTACTGCGTAACAGTTTTACTGCTGGTTTTAGTGTGGTTAACTCGCTACCCGCCTGCCGTGCCCTCATTTTGGGGAGGAAGGAGAGAACGTCTGTACACAAAGCACCTGGAGCAGAGCGCTGTGCATGGCCTTAATATCTTGCCAGGAGGCCACAGGGCTGGTTCTAATGTGTGTGGTAATTTGCATGTCTAATCAAAACGAAATGCAAACAAACTTTCCTGCTGGCTTGAACTTGTCTCTTTCTTGCTACCTTTTTGGTTTTGATGATAACAGCTTTTTTCAGCTGCAGGGGTGAGAGCGGGGCTGCAGAAGAGGGCAGCTGTGCTCTGCTGCGTGTGGATCCCATCTAGTTTGGAGCTGGTCGGGGATGCGATGGAGGAGACGGGGAAGGCGAAAAGCCTGTGCTCTTGCCTGCCAAGAGAGGCGCTTGGCTCTCCATCCTTGTGATGGGACTGCACTGGTGTGCGTCATTGCTGACACACAAACTTAAACTAGGCTGATTTACAAAGCTTTTCTGTTAATCATGGTTCTAGCTACCGTTATGAGAGTGATGTCTGAACAGGCAGCACGGCCATCCCATGGAAGCTGGGCAGACCTGGAGCTCCTGGATTTGAGCTCAGGCCCTGCCAGCAATGGGCTGTGACAGTGAACAGGTTGCGCATCTCCCTTTCTGGTCTTTGCTGAATGAATGCATGCGCCTGCTAATGACACCAAGCGCTCGCGTGGTCCCGCTGGAGGATCCAAACCTTTGCAGACTTTCTCTTGGCTTCCTTGAAACTGGAAGCGAGCAGTAGCATGCTTCCTTGGGGGAAACTGAGGCACATGGGCTCCCTTTCGCTGTTGGGTTTTACCATGGTAAGAGCCTGGGTTCTCTGATGAAGCATTGTGCTCCAGCTAGTAAGAAATATGGCCTTACAGACAGCGTAGTGGGTTTTTTTCTACAGCGCTCATGCAAAAGCAATGTGGATATGCTGAGTATTTCACTTGGTTGTGTAGCAGCTGCCTCGACTTTGGCTGGAATGTCTAATCAATGGCTTCAAGCAGCCACTTAAGGACTGCAGTAGAATCTCTGCTCCTAGAGAAGCAATCTCTTGGTGATAAGTGTGAATACGGCTCCGCAGTGGAGCGGAGGAGTGAGCAGCAGGGCAGATTGGGCGGTCAATCCACCAGCCCTTGCTGGCCCACTCTACTGAAGTGGTGTTTCTCTTGCTGCTTGTTTTCGATAGCTGACTTTGAGCAGCAAAACTGCCTGTGCCGAGGCTGGGCAGCAGCATGGCCTTGGCAGGGGAGAGCTGCTGCTGTTGTGAGAGTGGGAATTCACTGGGCACGTTAGAAGCTATAGGACTCTGGTTTCCGACAAATAAATGCACTTCTCCAGGCTGTATGTGCTAGTTCCCTTCTTGTGATCTTTGCAGTGGACGTGGGCTTGTTAATTGTGATAGCTGTTGCTGAATCTTGGCTTTGGAAGTCTAATTTTCTTTTTTTCCCCCCTCGTCTAGCTAGCGTTCCCTGTGCTGCTGCTGCGGAGAAGACCTGCCGTCCCCGGCAGCCCCGTGTGCGGCGCACCTCTTCGCTGGACACCATCGTGGGCTCGTACCTGCTGGGACAGTGGCCGCGGGACGCTGAAGGAGCTTCCACTTCGTGCATGAATGACAAAGCTACCCAGGTACGAACGCCTGCGGACTGCCCTTGAAGTCTCTGGGCCAGGAGAGGGTTGCAGAACTGAAACGAGCTGTGTAAACTAGGGGTGAATAGGGAAGGCATTAAATTTCCATCTGTCCAGCTGCAACTTTCTAGGAAGGCTTTTTTTCCCCTTTTTGCTTCTCAGCTTCAATTGATTCCACTTTGGTGCAGAGTTAGAATTTCCTTGGCCTTGTTTGGAGGCAGATGGCCTCTGGCTTTCTACTCCAGTACTGGCTCAGCACCGCTTTTTTTTTTTTCTGGCTTGCGGTTCTGGGCCAAGTCCTTATACAACACTCGCGGGCTGTGTGCCACACGCTGCGAGAAGTCAAGGGTGCTCCTGCAGAAGGGCTCACTAGCACGAACGGCGCAGCTCTCCCCTGTAGAATGGAAAAGCTCCAGACCTCGAGGAACTCTTAGCAACCTGTAAATATTACTGTATGGCAGCAAATAGTGCTCGCCTATCTGCAGAGGTGAAAGAATTTAGAAGGATAAGAGCATCCGTTTGCTTAACAAGTTGTTTATTTAGCACGTTCAATCTCTGTTAACTTGCTGTTTGATCTTCGCTGTTCAACAATTTATTACTGGGCTGTTTGCAGGAAATTCTCAATTGGATTCCAGCTTCCATTGTCCTTTTCCAAAGTGTTCTGGCCTGCTTTTGTTTCAGTTCTGGTGCCCAAGAGCGCTGCTGAGGGCAGAGGGCGTGCTGGAAAGGAAGGGAAAGAATTTGTCTAGCTTTATTTCTGAGTTAGCGAAGCACACTCTTCCTTTCTGTCTTCATCAGCAGCGGTGAGAACTCTTAACCCCAGTGTTCTGCGGCTAATTAGTTTTTCTTGCATGTGGCCTTTTTGGGGAAAGGGTTGGAGAAAAGGGGCACCTCCTTCTTCCCAGAATGGAAGATACCACTGTGTTAATTCAGACTCTGCTGAGCCTGGAGCTGATCACTCCTCTTGGCAGTGAATAGGCCAGGTGTGCCGCAGTCTTTCATCAGTTATCTGCAAGTGTCTTGCAAATGCTAATTTTACCTTGCAACATGCCTGTGAAAGGAGCAGTGATCTCCAGTTTCACACACAAACCCCTGTGTGTCAAATGACTTGTCTGTTGAAAGCTGGGAATAAAGTCCTTGGTTCTCGACTACCCTGTGCGTTCACGAAATGTTCCTCATCGTAACCTCCACGACTTTGCCACTCCTTCCATGTTTTCAGGCTTAATAGTTATCAAACTTGGGACTTTCTCTGCTAGCCAGTACATGTTTACTTCCCTCCTTATTCAGCTACTGATCAGCTGTTTTGCAGAGCTCTGTAGATTTGCTGTCATGAGGTGGTTAAGTGAGAGATACAACTGCAGGTGCTCAGTGTGGGGGTGAGGATGGCAGCACTGTACATGATTGGAGCTTGCGGCTTTATCTTGCTGTGCAAAGCATTTTTTTTCTCTCCTTTTTCTGAGGAAGCGGTTTTGCCACAGTTAGTACAAAAGGTTCTGTAATTTCCTTCTGCCTTGACAGTCTGCCTGCGAGAGGTGGGACACATACGCGCTCTTCGTTTTCAGGCCTTCCTATTGCAAACAGCGTCTTTTCTTCCTTTTTAGGCCCTAGTTTTTTGTCAGCACCGGTGCAGTGCTCAGTGCTCTGGGTATCGCTGCAATAAGTGACTTCTCAAGGGCTCAGGAGGCTTCTAGCGGCTTGAGGAGAGTTTGTCACATCCTGCAAAGCAGGACCATTCTTAGCAGCTGGAGTTCAGCTTCCCACAGATTTGCCTCTTGCAGTAATGAGGGATAGGGCTGCGGTCTTGTCTCTTAGACCTTTGCCTCTTCTCCTTAGCTTTCTTACGTGCGTGGTCTCCTGGGGTAGAAAATGACACAATGTTTTGGGATAACAGCCAAGTAATGATGTTTGAGTTGTTTAGGAGAGAATATTTGAGGTAGGAAATGAGATCAGATGTGCCATGTGCTGAAACTGCAAGGTTGGTCTTTGCCGTAGGATTTCCCATCGCGTTGGTCTGTTCCTCGGCTCTGTCTGGCACGGTTCAGGGGTAGCGCGGGGATGGCTGCGACCGTTGAAGGGATTTCTTCTCTCAAACCAGACTGAACACTGTAAATCGAAAAACTTCTGTGCTGCAATGTCTGCTGCTTACAGGCATTGCAAAATGGAGGCCACGACAACAAATGGTTTTAGCTGTAGGGAACGCAGTGTGCTCTGCTTACAGAGCTGTGTGTAAGGAGGGGCTTCGTTCAGAGCCTGTTAAGTCAGGAGAGGGTTGGATTTCTGCCCAGAAATCACCTGTATCCCTTTACAGAAGGAAAAGCTGGTACCTGTCTAGGTAACTCGCCTTGTTCCTTTGGCTTAGATAGATTTTAAAACCTGTTTTGAGAGAAGAGGCTTCTGTCATCCTCATGACTCAACAGGGTTTAAAACAGCTGCTGTTCTTGCAGTAGCCTCTGGGGAGATCAGTTAAGCTGCTTGGAGAGGAACTGTTCTCAGGCCCTTGCACCTTCTGGCAGCCTGTCGCTGAGGATGGAGGAGGGAAGCATCATCCAAAGCCTCCCACAGAAATGGCAGGCAGCAGTGACACGGGGTGAGCGTTCTGAGAGGCACTGAAATGCGATGTGGGGGGAAAAAATGATGGCTGGTCTTGAAAATGATGTGCCTTGGGACTGTTCCGATCCCGGAGTCTCTGCCGAGAGGGCTGAGTGCAGTGGAAGGAAGTTCACACCCTTTGCTGATCAGATTAACAGCCCTTTCTGATTTCCATTGATATTTAAAATGTAGCTGTTGCTTGGAAAACAGCTGTGTAAAGTGGTGCTGAGGCTGTTTTTCTGCATGAAGAGAGTCAGCCGAGAACTGCCAGCCCCGCGGCCGGAGGGACGAGAGCTGGAGAGTCAGCTGGGTTCTTCCAGCGCTCCGGCAGCAGCAGCAGTCAGTCTGCAGGCCAAGCTCTGGTTTTGGTAACGCCTTTGAGCTCTGATACAGGAGCCTGAGGTCTCAGCAGCAAGTTGTGTGTTCTCATAGCTGGGTGAGGCTTTTCCTCTCGGTAATGCTTCTTCGTACAATGAGTGCCTGAAACCCTACGTCACCGGTCATCAGCCGAGAGCCCGTGCGAGCAGCGCAGGGGGCGGTTGCGGTTGTTTCTCCGGGGTAATGGTTTGGCGCCCTTTATCTCATCTGGTGCTTGTGGTGATTAAGCCACTGACTTCGGGGCAGGTCTCTTGCCACGTAGGTCTGTGAGGTCCAGTTGCCCGATAACCACAAATCTGGCCCAAGTGACTTTGTTTTGGCAAACAGAAATAGATGGCTATCTCTTCATGCACGCTACTGAGTATTGCACTGAGGGGGGGAGACTGGAATAGGGCTGCGAGCAGGCAGTAGTTGAGCACTTATCCTTAGGACTCTACCACCAGTCTCTAAACCAGCAAACGTTGTGATTATTCTCAGCCGTGTTTCTCATCACTTCAGACTCCAGTGTCCTGGCATGACGTGGAAGTGGGGAAAGCCAGCTCCAGTGCCCACAAGCGTTCTGCTTCTTGGGGTAGCACAGATCACCGCAGAGAGGTAAAATAGACCCACTCCCGATGCTTGAGCAAGATCTGTGTTAGTTGCTGGAGGCTCCTGCTTGCGTGGGAGGGGAGTGGGAGGACAGGATACTAGTGAGGATGAGACCTTAGCCCTTGTTCTCATCCCTAACGCTCTGTGCTTCAACCAAAGACTGATCTTGTTGGCTTCCTCTAGCAGGCAGCTGTTGTAAAGTAGCTCCACTGAAACTCAGTGCATTGCTTGTCGGCGTCGTGGCGTGCGTGGCTCCCAGTGGGGCCTGGTTCCTAACGATCTGTAGGTGGAAGATAACCCAGACCCACTAGAGGAAGGGCACTGGCCACATCGCAGCGGGGGAGTTTGTGACGAGGCCTTGCAGGTGCTTTCTGGTCCATCCTTTGAGAGGTGGCCAGAGCTGCTGCTTGTGTGATTGAAACCGTCTCTATTTTGGCACTTCCTTGTGGGCTGGAAGAGAGGGGGAGGAGAGAGACGAGGCATGATCCTTTTTGGTGGAGGTGTGTTGGCTTGTCTGGTTCTGTAGCTGAAACTTTGTTTGCTAGATTGCCAAACTGAAGCAGCAGCTCCAGCGAACAAAGCTAAATGGCAGAAGTGGCAAAGAAAAGGAGAAGAGCTCCCCGCTCCAGGGGGACCATGCTGTCCTTGGATCGCTCAGGGTACGTTCACGTCTCCCCTGCTCCGCTGTCACCGTGTGTCCTAGTGAGCTGGAGAGCAGGCGCCTCTGGGCAGGTGTCCAAGCTGTTCTCAGCCTTCTGCTCTCGTGCCTGAGAAGGGAGAATTTTTTTCTCTTCTCCCCCCCCACCTCTTCAGCCCTGTGCTTTGATCTCCAGTTAGTGAGTTTACGAGACTCTGCTGTCAGCCTTCTGCCGTCAGCCTCCTGGCAGGCTTTGGCTGAGCCCTGGAGAGCTGTGGGGACAGGATGGAGCGGCTGAGTTTGTGCAGATATAACCACCTTCTCTGGTTCTGGATTGTTACAGGACGCTTCTTCAGGCTTCCTTTCTCCATCGCCCGTTTTGAGGCTCAGCCCCTGTTTGCATAGGAGCCTGGAAGGGCTAAACCAGGAACTGGAAGAAGTGTTTGTGAAGGAACAGGGAGATGAAGAGCTTCTGCGGGTAAGTGAAGGTCACAAGGTTGCCCTGAATCTTCTGGGTGGTCTTGGACATCCTTCCCTCTAAAGACACTCCTGTATCTGTTTCTTGGCCACAGGGACGGTCTCTGTGTCTAGTTTTAGTTTGTTCTGGGCACGTAACTGTCTAAATTGGGTCAAGTGGCTGCTGCCTTCCCTTCTTAAAACTTGCTGGTGCTATGAGAGGTGAGCCAGTAGTGATCTCAGGAGAGATGACACCTCACCGACAGCTTTAAGACTCTCTTAGACTGGCATCCACGGCTACTTTGTGCTGTGCAGATGTGGGAGCAGTGATCCCAGAGAGCTCATGAACCAAAGCGCGTTACAGGATACGGAAGGGCCGGTGTCCTGGTTGCAGGAGGCTGCCTTGCTCCCCGAAGTGGAGGCTCTGCCCGGATCCGGATCCAGCACCCCAAGTAGCTGCTGTCTGTAGGTGCAGCTGCTGTTAAATCTCTTCACTGGTGGCAGGGGTTTCTTGCTCCTCTAAGACTTTGCTTCCTCCCTAGATATTGGATGTCCCAGATGGCCACAGGGCGCCAGCGCCTGCCCAGAGAGGCTCTGGAGATGCGTCCCTGACTCTGGAGCCCGGCAGTGGCAGGGGGGGGGGGCCCCCTC